CCAACCTTGGGACTTACAATGGACTTAAATTAATAGCCTGCTGTGTGCTTTGGTAACATCAGGATGTGACTTTTCACTTGTCAACCTTGGGTTTGTCAGCATTAGCAGTTAGCAGCTGTCTCAGTGAAGAAACACCTCTAGCTCCAGTGGGCTGGGAACAGGAGACAGAGCTGGACCCCAAGGTTGAGGGGCTTTCACCCAGCCCCTAGAGCCTGGCACTTTGAAATTGGAATTAAAGCCTCCTAAACTGTAAGAGAATAAACTCCTGTTTGTTAAGGTCATCCCATTTGTGGTATATTCTTGTCAAAGTGGCACTAGGTAACCAAAACAGGGTCTATCCTGTTTGGAGTTTGTTGACTTCCTGAATGGATATAATCTCATCTTTCATCATATCAGGAATGTTCTCTTCCAACAAATCTTGGACAATTTCTCAGTAGTTTTATTTTTCTTTTCCGGTTCTGGAATTCCAATGAGACATAGGCTATTCCTTCTGATGGTATCCCACATGAACCTTAGGCTTTCTTCATTTTATTTTGATTTTTTTTTTCTGATTGATCCCTTTTTAAAGAAGTATTTAGGTATTTGCCTTCAATCTCATTAATTCTGTATTCAATTGCATCAATTATACTCCTTTGCCCTTCCAATGTGTTATCTATTTCTGACAATTTAGTATTTATCTTCTGGATTTCTATTTGTAGATGTTGAATCATTTCTAATTTCTCATTTATTTTGTCAGTTTGTTCTTGTATTTTCTCCCAAAATTCTTGTAGGGTTTTGTATGTGTTTTCCTTGATCTGTCTCTCAATCCTTTGAAGATACCTAAATATAATTCTTTTGAATTCCTTATCAGAGAGTTCCAATGCTGCTTCTTCCTCAGGGATGTGTTCTGGGTCTATATCCTGCTCCCTTGTTTCTAACACTTTATCTTGCTTCTTTGTGTGGACTGTGATGGTCTGTTGTCCCTGAGACATTGTGACGTTGTTGTATTTAGATCTCTGTTAACTATTTGTGAAGAGCAGCTAAGGGTGAGTCAGGCTCTTCTTGGTGGTTGTTTATCATTGGCCCATGGGTGGAGAAGGAAGTGGTGGCTCTCACCCATAAGTGAAGCTGCAGTAGGTGGAGGTGTAGTTGTGTCATATGGGCACTGTTGCTGTCTCCCACTCAGTTAGACAAAAATAACAATTGAATAACCATCAAAAAAGTAAAAGCAAATGGACAAAAAACACACCATGTAATCACATAGCACAATAACCAAACAAAGAAAAAAGAGGGGAAAAAAAAAAACAAAAAAAAAAAACCACCACACCACAATATCTGGGGAGAGGGCAATAAGAGAAAAATGGTAGAGAAGGATAATAATGAAGAAAAAAAATGGGAAAAATGCAAAAAGAAAAACAAAGAATGGGCTTAACCACAAAAACAAACAAACAAACAAACAAAAACAAAAAAAGCTTGGAACCAGGAACAGGGAAAAGAAAAAAAGGTGAAAACTAGAACCTGGGAGAGGAAGAATAAAGAATAACAGCAAAAAGGACAAAAGTAATAACAGTAGTAGTAGTTTTAAAGCAGAAAAAAACTAAAAAAAGAAAAAAAGAAAAAAAATTGGGGCAGGGCACCCAGGCTCCATCTGAGCACAAAGACTGAGATGGAATTCCTGCCAGCCTAGAAGGTGGGTGGGAGTGAGGGATGGCCACACCTCCATTCACCAAGAGGGTTTGGTATATAACAGTAACAACGACAATGTCGCACCTTTCCAGAGTAAGAAGGGGAATGCTGTATCTTTCCAGTCATCAGAGTCCAGAATGTCCTTGCGGTTCCCGGAAAGTGGAGCCTGTTCTTAAGTCCTTGGGATCTGGGAGAACACTATCGGTTTAAATATCTAAAATGGTCAAACTGCTTGTAAACATTGAAAATGGCTGCATCCTCCAGACAGGCAAAAGTTCACAGCTCAGCCCGCCTTTCTCTTTGGTGCTTCCCCTTTTATTCACCACCCAGAGCAGTCCTCTGTGCAGTCCCTGGCTAGCAGGGGTGATTTTTAGGTTAATTCTTAGGTCCTAACAACACTCGGCTATATCCAAGCTGTCTATGCCATCAGGATCGCTGCCAGAGCACAGCTCCGTATGTCTCCTTTTTTGGTGTTTTCATGCAAATTCTTCTGCTAGTTGGAGCTTAATCCACTTCTATATCCTTCCCTTCAAATTCAGGGGTCCAGGATTATCTTCTTTATCTGTGTTAATTGGTTCCCCTTTTCTTTGTTGAAGAGGGTCTGTGCAGTCCTTCTGCCTATTCCGCCATCTTACCGGAACTCTTCCAATATCAGAATCTTATAGTACATCTTGAATGATGCTGAATCCTATAGTTTTGTCCTCCTTTTTCAAAATTCTTTTGGCTTTCCTAAATTCTCTCCATTACTACTTAACTTTCAGAATTGGCTTGCCAATTCTAAAAAAAAATATCCTGCTAATATTTGGATTGGGAAGGTGCTGATTCTACATCAATTTGGGGAGATTTGGTAACACTGGGCAATGTTTTGTTTTGTTGTACACAGGGTCACTATGAGTCAGAACAAACTTGACAGCACCTAACAATAGCAATATTGATCTTCAAATCAACAAACACAATGTATTTCTACATTTTTTTTTCTCAGCATATACTGGAACTTACTCCAAGGCAACTAATAACATCAGGTGTGTAGCAGTATCTCATTGTGGTTTTAATTTGTATTTCCCTAAAGACTAATACAAGGAGCTCTGGTGGTACAGTATTTAACACATTTGCCTGCTAATCAGAAGGTCAGAGGTTCAAACTAACCATCTGTTTTATGAGAGAAAGGTGAGGCAATCTGCTTCCATAAAGATTTACCGCTTTGGAAACCCTATGGGGCAGTTCAACTCTGTCCTATGAGTAAGAAACCATTCGATAGCATGACCTGTTTATATCTATGACTCATCAAAAAAACAAAAAAAAAAAAAAAAAAAAAAAAAGCCCATAAAACCAAAACTCACAACTTATCACTGCTACCAGAGCGATTCCAAGTCAGTGACCTTCATGGGGTTTCCAAAGCTGTATTTTTTTTTTTTTCTTTTCATTGTGATTTGAGTCAAAGTTTATAGAGCAAATTCATTTTCCAAAGAACAATTCATATATTTTGTCTCATGACATTGACTTCAATTCCCTACATTGTAACAGCTCTCTTCCCACTTCTTCCCCATAGTTACCTCTTCCCTGTGTTTTTCCCTCCCATGCACTCCATCCACCCCCAGCTGTCTCCCTGGGCATACACTCCCCTTCTGTTACCCCATGATTGATCTCTCCAAGAAGTGTTATCAACCTGATGTAAACAAATGTTCAGCCCATATGCCTGTCTATTATTTGGCTGGAAGCACTGGAGTTAGTTCAATTCCAGATCTGAAAGGTAGCTAGGGGCCATAATCTCTGGGGTCTTACCAGGCTCTATCAGACCAGCAAACCTGGTCCTTTTTTATAATTTTGAGTTTTGTTCCACATTGTTCTCCCAGTCTATCCAGTATATTCTACAGGAAGCCTCCTCCAAGTGGTTGGCAGAGATAGCCAGGAACCATCTAGTTCTTCTGGTCTCATGGTCATATAGGCTGAGGATCACATGGTCTACCAGTCCCTTGGACTAACTGTTTCCATTCATGATTTCCTTCATTCTTCTTTGCTTTGGATGAGGAGAGACCCATTGTTGCATCTAGATGGTCACTTGCAAGCTTTTAAGATCCCATTCACTACCCATCAAAGTAGTATGTGGAACAATGTTTTTGTGTAGTATGTTATACCAGTCAAGCTTGATATCCTCTGCAACCATGGTCAAGGCTGTATATCTTTACAGCAGTAGACTGCCCCATCTTCATGAGGCAGAACTTTTTTTTGATGTCTATTTGACACTCATATATGTAGTTTGGTAAAGTGTTTGCTCAAATCTTTTTGCCCTCTTTTTTTTTATTATTCACAGTTGTTTTAAAAGTTGTTTGTTTATTTTAGATATATGTACTTTATCAGATACATGCTTTGCAAATACATTTTTCCAGCCTGTGGCTTTGGCTTTTCATTCTGTCAGCAGTATCCTTCAATGAGCAGAAAGTTTCCATTTTAATGAAGTCCAATATACCAGTTTTATCTCTTGTCAATTATGTATTTGGTGTTATATCTAAAAAATGTTTTATACATTAAGTATATTTCTATGTATGTTACACTTCATTAAAAAATTCAATTCTTAATTATAAGTTTTCTAATGGAAAAAAATAAATTTTTTGACAATTTATTTTATATTTTCAAGAGTACAGGGCCAAGAACAGTGGATACTAGATGTACTGTATTTAAAAAGAAAACAAGGTGACTCTATGTGTTACAGTAGTACTACTCCAGAGTTTTCTTGGCTATAATCTTTATGGAAGCTGTAGCTAGGTCTTTTTTTTGTGGCACCACTGGATAAGTTCAAACTGCCAACCTTTAGGATAGCGGCTGATTGCAAATCATTTGTACCACCAGGTACTTATACTTTATTAGCTATAGTTAAAATCATAAGCAACATTCTTAAGATCATGAGTAGACTTTTCTCATTCCATTCTAATATCCTCATTATCAATGAGTTATAAGACCCAACAGTCAATATTATGCTATAAAGTATATGAGAAGCCCTGGTGGTTTGGTGGTTAAAATGCTCAGCTGTTAACTGAAAGGTCAGCAGTTCAAGCCCAGCAGCTGCTTCATGGGAGGAAGATGTGGCAGTTTGCTTCCCTAAGGATTTACAGACTTGGGAACCTGATAGAGCAGTTCTACTCTGTCCTATAGTGTCACTATGATCAGAACTGACTCAATGGCAGTAGGTAAGGTATACTATGTACTAAAGCTCCAAACAAATTATTTCAGTATTGGAAGTGGTTATTTGAAAGCAGTATATTTTCTACTTTTAACACTTCAATAAGATTGCCCATGTTGTCAATTTCAAATAAATTTAGAATTCAAAAGAGTATTACTTGTGTGACTGTCTTTGTGGAGGCAATATTCATTTTCTCTATTTTTACTTCAGGTACAATGGTCATGGTCCTTGACATACCAATTCTGCTTTGGTTTGCACCAGCATATCCTTTTGTTTGGGTTCCTTTTATAGGATTAATAAAGCTAATAGACTTCCTTACTTGTGGGCCAGTGTTCCTGCATCAGGAAAAAGAAAACACAATATACAGGATCCATGATTTAAAGAAAAAAGTAACAATAAAAAAGTAGACCTTCAGTTAGAAATATGTAAACAATCTAAACATAAAACAAGATATAATAGCTATGTCAGCACTCACTGTGTGAAAGTATAGCTCTAAAGAGTTTACATGCATTACACAATGTTTTCCTCACAACTCTAAGAAGTTGCTTTTAGTATTGTTTTATATAATGTCATATAATCTTGAAGGGCAACACCTTAGAATTGAGATTTGAACCCAGGGAGCCATGCTCAAAGTCTACAATGACTTCCTTTAGTTTTCTTATTTGTAAAATGGGTGTGGTATTGGTGAAGAATACTATGGACTGCCAGAACAACTAACCAATCTCTCCTGCAAAAAGTACAGCCGGAAAGCACCTTGGAAGTAAAATGGCCAGACTTCATCTCACCTACTTCTGCCATGTTATCAGAAGGAACCATTCCCTGAAGAAGGATATCATGCCTGATAAAATGGAGGGTCAATGAAAAAGAGGAATGCCCTTAACAAGATGGACTGACACAATGACTGCAATGATGGGCTCAGATATAGCAAGGATTGTGAGGCTGGCACAGGACTGGGCAGTGTTTTGTGCTGTTGTAGATAGGGTCACTATGAGTTAGAGCTGACTTGACAGCACCTAACAACAACAACAACTCATAGGTTATCTTAAGGATTAAATGAATTAATGTATGTTTTGACTGCTAACCAGCGGCTGGCAGTTCAAACTAACCAGCCACTCCTCAGAAGGAAGACTGGGTAATCTACTTCCATAGAGATATTACCTCAGAAACCTAAGAAGAGGTTGCTCAACTACCAGCTCGATGGTAGTTGAGTTTGGTTTTATTTTTTTTGGTATAGTTAGAAAGTGCCTGGCACATAGTAGCACAAATGAGTGTAGAATACAGTTACAGACTGATTTAAACATGATTAATAAAACCTGAGAAAGAATATCATGCTTTTGCTTCAACAAATTATATAGTAGTTTTTAATAGGATGTTATAACCAAAATATTTATATTTAAAAGAAATATGATTTCACTTTTGGACTTAACCTGTAAATTCTTAATTTATTTTAGTACTCTAGATTCCTAGAAAATGAGGAAGATCTTTCCTTACATGGTAAAAAGAACATATATTTCCAAAGAAAACATTTTTAATGATTCTTTTGCTTTTCAAATCAAAGTCAGACTCAAGAATAAACTGTTTTTAAAAGACAAAAATCAACCCGCTTTTCATATTTATTTTTCTTCACAGCACTTATCACTACTTGATATTTTGTTTGTACTTGTTCACTGCTGTATCTCTAGGAACCAGGACCAAACCAAAAACCAAATCACTGTCGCAGAGTGGGATCCAACTCATAGTGACTCCTCCTTGGGTTTCCAAGGCAGTATCACTACGGAAGTAGATTGCCCAATCTTCCTTCCGAGGAGTGGCTGGTGGGTTTGAACTACCAGCCTTCTGGTTGGCAGTCAAATGCCTTTGGCACTATGCCACTAGAGCTCCTAGTAACCAGGTCAGTGTCTACCGTATCACAGGCACTCTGGTGGCGTACTGGGTAAGGCATTTGTCTGCTAACCAGAAGGGTGGCAGTTCAAACCCACCAGCTGCTCCACAGGAAGAAGATAAGGCAATCTACTTCCATAAAGATTTACAGCCTTGGAAACACTATGGGGTTCGCTATGAATCGGAATTGACTTAACAGCAGTGGGTTTGGTTTTGGTTTGGTTATAATCTTATAATCCAACTTCAACCATCCTCAATCTTAATATGCCCTTCAATACTTTGATTCTATCACTTTTTACTACCTTACTCACTCCTCTCTTGCCACCTTTTCCCTCTTGAGTTTGTGGTTATTATAACCCATAATAAATTATTATAATCATTGCTTACTTACACTCTAACCTTACTTTCCCTTAATTCATTGTACTTACTGGGAGACCAAAGCCTTTGTAAATTCCAATTTTCCTCTTACTTTGAGCCTGCATCTGTGCAACTAAACAAAACTGGAGAAAAAACATTCAACCATGATAACTGGTCTCACGTTAGATTATAGATCATTACTTTACAGTGAGTCCTTAATGTGCCAGCAACAGAGGTTCTTGGTTCCTTTTCTATACACTAAAACCTTAATTTCATACTTTCTCTCCTCAAATATCAAAACCACCTCTCTCATCTTTACTTTCAGCTGATGAAATGGGAAAAGCATTAACATATTCCCACTACCATATATATACACCTGCCATCTGTGCTATATTGTGTATCTTGTGTTACTGTGAACAAATGATCTGACTCTAGCTTAGGTCAATCCCTCAACACATGCACTATATTCCTTTTTCCCTATTCAAGGATATTGATATAAGCAATCCTCTCTCCTGCAGCATTGGTGTTTCTCATTCTGCTGGATCGTTTACTTCAGCATATAAACATACTTTTATTTCTCCCATCTTAAACAAAAAGCTTCTCTTGAATCCATCTACTCCTACAGCTCTGATCCATTCATCTTTAATTATAGTAAATTCTTAAGAGGAAAAATGTCTATTCATAGTTTTAAAAAACTATTCTCTCTTGAACTTACTACAATCAAGCTTTTGCCTTTATCATTCCACCAAAAGGATTTTTTACCAAGGTACTCAACCACCTCCACAATATTAACTGCAATAGTTATTTTACTGTTCCAACCTTTCTTGGTAGTATTTGACCCCGCTCTTCCTTCTTTTCTCCTTGACTTTTTTTTTTTTAAAAAAAAAAAAAAACTTGAATTGCATGGCTCTCCAATTATCTGGTTTTTCTATTTTTTTTTTTTTCTGGTTATCTCCTGAGTCTCTCTTGCTAGTTCATGTTCAGCCTCTCATAGCTGGAGTGCCACAGTGCTCATTCTCAGACCACAACTTTTTTGCATACACACTCATAGCCTAGGTTAACTCACCCAATGTCATAACTTACCACCTATATGATATTATCTGCGAGCTCTGGTAGCATAGTGCCTAAGGCACTTGACTGCTAACCAGAAGGCTGGCAGTTCAAACCCCTCAGCCACTCCTCGGAAGGAAGGTTGGGCGATCTACTTCCGTAGTGATGCTGCCGCAGCAACCCAAGGAGGGGTCGCTATGAGTCGGGTCTGACTTGATGGCACGTAACAACAGCAACATGATATTATTTCCCAAATATATCTCTGATTGGACCTCTCCTCTGAACCCTAGACCTGTATATACACACTTGTATGAGACATCTCCAACTCAAAACTTTTTATGTCTAAAACTATCACCACTATCACCCCACCCATACTCTAACAAACTTACTCCTCTTCCCCATTTTTTGTTAATGGCAACTTTAGTCTTCCACTTGCTCAGGACAAAAAACTTCAAAATACACCTAAAATCCAACCATCTGTCACAACTTTTATTGCCATCATCCTGGTAACAAACCACCATCCTCTCTCTCTTGGACTGCATACTTGTAGGTAAGGCTCTGTGCTACTGCTGGCAGAGATACAATATGAATCAGATATGAGCTCTAAAGAGCTACAAGCTAATAAAAGAGAAAAAAAATAAGCACGTATATAAGTACAAAATTGCACTGGTCTAACAAGAGGACTACATAAAATGAAATGAGAATTATGGCAGATTACTTTTGACCAGAGAAATAAGCAGAGAAATCATAAAGGCAGTAACTGAGTTAGACTGTGAGCGATCGGTCAATTTTGAAAGCCATTTTAGCATAGTGTGTGAATGTGTGTGTATCTGGTGCAGGTGGAGACAAGGTGGGTAGGAGTTTTGGGGCAGGATAGGGAATAGATTATGAACAATGAAGATAGGAAAGCATGTGGTATGTGTATGGAATCCCAAATGATTCATTTAGATACCAAAAAAAAAAAAAAAAAAAACCCAACAAAGTTAAGCTCTGAAAAAATAAAATAGCTATTAAAGTTCTCTCATGCCAGGCTAAACCTTTGAAATGTATCATGTAAGCCAGAGAGTACCTTTGAGGTTTTGATCAGAATAATCAAGTGATCAAAACTATGTTTCAGAAAGATTTAGCTACAGACAGGATAAATTAGAGGAAGACAATTAGTTAAGATGCTATGGGAATAGCCCGGGTGAAAAGTAATCAAGGACTAAGCTAGCGGGGCAAATGTACAAATAAAACAAATGCAAGCTGTAGCAGATATAGAATTCACCAAAAACCCCAAACCAAACTCACTGCCATCGAGTCAATTCTGACTCATAGCAACTGCCATTGAGTTTCTGAGGCGGTAAATCTTAATGAAAGTAGATTGTCCACTTTTCTTCGGCACAGTGGCTGGTGGGTCTGAACCGCCAACCCTCTGGTTAGAAGTCAAGTGCCTTAGGCACTGTGTCACCAGAGCTCCTTATAGAATTCACAAGACTTGTTAACTGATAATAACAATGCCACTTAAAACTTAACTTTCAAAGAAATTCTACCTATATATTCTAATTCAATCCGTTAAAATGTGAGATATTTAATAGCTATATTTTACAAGTGAGAAAAACTTAAACATGAAGAGATTAATTTACATGCCCAATTTATCTAGTAATTCACAGGCTGTGAGTTCTTGGACAAGTTTTTTTAATCTGTTTGTTTCCTTATCTGTAACTGAGGTTATAGTAGCTGCCCATTGAGTTAGGGTGATAATTAGCCTTTACTTCTAAAGCACAGTAAGGAGCTCATTTTTATACATGTTCAATTTTAGACACCAAAGTGATAACCTGGTGGAGCTGGCTGGCAGCAGTTGAAAAGAGGAGTAAACTGAACTTGAGGGAACAAAAGTGAGAGCTGGAGATTCAGATTTGAGAATTTTTCCGTGAATTTGGTAATCAACTGAATTTCAAAATGAATCCCTTAAGATACCAATGGAAGGAAATAGGGGTTAGAGAAAAAGGCGGCAGAAAGAAAGAAGCAGAAAAGAGACATTTATTTGAATAGTAAACTAGCCAAGTTCAGGAAATCTTAAGGAGGGGATAATCAATATTGTCAAATGCTGCAGAAAGGTAGAAAGCCCACTGACTTTAATGATTCTTGAAAATTTTATACTACTCCTTATTGACTGCTGAGTAGTGTCTGTACACCCATGGAGAATGCAGATTGCAAGGGTTAAAGAGTGAGCATGTAATGAAGCAGAATATAGAAACTGGGCAAAGATATGGGATAAGTTGGCTGAAAAGAGTAAGTGGTTTTTACCACAGTGGGAGATGTGTTCATTATTGTTAAATTAATGGGAAGGATCCAGTAAGGAAAATGGAGTGAAGAAGTAGAAAATTGGTAAAGACATGCTTCATGAGATCCTTTGTAAGATTAGGATTAAATCCTAAAAGGAGGAAGATTAGAAATAACTTATTAGGTCAAATTAACAGGCTGTAAATTCAGTGTCTGTTATGCTTTTGGTTTATTTAGATAATAGAGTTGCCTCACACACCTACTCAAATATTCTTTGAATTAATTTGCTGCAAATTTGTCATTATTTAAAGAAATTCCCAAGGCAATTTTTCTAACATTCTTTCATCTACGAGAGTTTTATGACTTTTTGTTTTTAATTTACACTTACTGAGATTTCTATATGTAAAAGTGAAAACAAAAGCCAAACAAGGTGAGTAGTAACCACACATATTCCTTTGATCAGTCAGTCAGTCAATAAATTTTTATTGGGTGCCTTCCTCATTCTAAGGGAGCTCTGGTGACATAGTGGTTAAAGCATTTGACTGCTCACTAAAAGGTCAGCAATTAAAACCCACCAGCCACTCTGGGGGAGAAAGATGAGGCAGTCTGCTTCCATAAAGATTTATAGCCTTGGAAACCCTGTGGGGTGGTTCTATGTTGTCTTATAGGGTTGCTATGAATCGGAATAGACTTGATGGCAGTGGGTATGTTTTTTGTTTTTCTTCATTCTGGGCAATAAAAGGAATACAATGGTGAACAAAAATTTCTGCCCTGAGGAAATACCATTTCTTGGATGAAGACAGATTAACAAGTATATAATACTTCAAGTAGGGATAAGTTTTGTGAAAAAAAGTAAAAACAAGGTTGGATGATTAGAAGTGCTGGGTGGTTAAAGGGGTTCTATGATAAAGTGACAACTAAAAGAAATGAGTAAGTCATAGATTATCTTGAGGCACAATATTCCAAACAGAAAGAACAGCAAATGTGCAAGTCCTGAAGTGGGAGTACAGTGTGTCTGATGAGAGGAACACTGTGGAGAGTAACTAACCAAGAAATAGTCCCAGATCAGATCTATGGGGCATTGTAAGAATGAGAACTTTTACTCTGAGTGAAATGGGAAAAACTTTGAAGAGTTTGGAACAAAAGACACACACTGATTACTACTATGTTCAGGGTGTTGGTAGAACTGATAGAATTTGCTGATGGAACTGGATATAAAAGAGCAGTGAAGGTTAACTCCAAGATTTTTTTACTTGAGTAACTGAAAGTGGAATTTACCATTTAATGAATGACAGGGAGAAACCTACCCTTTTCAGAGGGGGTGAGGGAGGAAAGATAGACTCCAAAACAGTATTATTGTGAGGGAACAAGGTGTTCCCAGCCTGTGGGAGATTAAGTACAGTGTTGGATATGAGTTCTGAGGTGTCAATTAACTCCTATGGTAGATGTCTGTTTGATTTTTGGGGGTGTGTGAGGTTGGTGGTTCAAACCCACCAGCCACTCCTCAGAAGGAAGATTGGGAAATCTATTTCCATAGTGATATGGTCTCGGAAACCCAAGGAGGGGTCGCTATGAGTTGGATCCGACTCCACAGCAGTCCGTTTGGTTTTGGTTTGGTTGGTGTGTGTGTGTGTATATTGCTCTGTTTTTGGTAAGAAGTATTTTCTTGGGAGAAGCCTTGTCTAGGGATATAAACTTGAAAGTCATCAGTATATAGGTAATCTTTAAAGCATAATACGATAATGAAATGAAAAGGCTTAAGGATTGATCCCAAACATACTTCAGTATTTTAGATGTAGGAGACATGAGGAGGAATCACCAAGTACTTTGAAAAGGAATAGTTATGGGGAGAACTAAGGAAGAGTGGTGTCCCTAAAACCAAATAAAATGTTTCAAAATGCAACTAGTGATAAACTCGATCAAAGCTACTGCTGGGTTAGTTAAGAACAGAATTGTATTTGACTCGGCAGTTACTGTTGTCCTCCACAAAAGCTATTTTGGTGGAGTAATGGGATAGACAAAAGCCTAGCTAGCATATTCGAGAATGGAAAGAAAACTTCAAGAAATTCTGAAGAAAAAATAGCTAAGAGCCCTCTTAAGGAAAGGAGACAGGATGCTCAGGGTCTGAGAAAATATAAGATGTATAATATAAAATGTATGATATAAAAATATAAGATGTGGAAGTGTGGGAGAGTAGATAGATGAACTAAAACTATAGTGGAATTATGGGGCAGTACGAAGGAACCGTTTAAAGTTGTAAGTGATACAAACCCGCACTGCTGTTGCAGGTACAGCAAACTTGTAAGCAGGATTAAGTTTAAGGGCAGAATGGTATGAGAAAAACGCCAAAAAAAAAAAAAAAAAAAACGCGACAAAAGAGAAAAGGAGCTCTGGAAAAAAAGTGCCAAAAGCAATTGACTGCTAACCAGAAGACTGGCGGTTCAAACCCACCAGCCACTCCTCGGAAGGAAGGTTGGGCAATCCTACTTCCGTAGTGATAACTGCCTCGGAAACCCAAGGAGGGGTCGCTATGAGTCGGGCCGACTTGACGGCAAATAACAACAACAACAACAACAACGAGCATAGCAATATTTGATGCAAAGCAGAAACTGACAGGCGTGAGCATCTGGGATATCATGAAAGCACCAAGCTTGAGAGCTGAGAAAAACTGTGGTTCTAATTAAACCACGTCTTTTCTCCTAGAGAAAGAACAGCAAAAGGTATACAATAAAGGCTGTATTGGGCTGAGGAAGGAACCAGTGCCGCTTGGAAGTTTCGAGGATAACCCTTTTCCATCTCCAGGGGCTGGAACTTACAACCCGACGCTAGGCTGCTTGCGACTGCTTGGTGGAGAGATGCGCATGGTGGCGACTGACTGGGGAATGGTCAATCAGCTCCTTCCCTGGCCGCTTGTCGGGCCCTTGTACCCCAAACCTCGGCGTTAGCGGCTCTGGCTGTGCCACTGGACTGTTTGCCGGGTGTCATGGAGACGGTAGAGCCCAGGCTCAACAAGCGGCCGCGCGGTTGGCTGGAGGCAAGATGCTGTGGAGGAGGGCAGAGGCGGAGGGGAGGGCCGAGGGTTGGTGGAGGAGGAGGAAGCTCCCGACGACGACTAGAAAAAGGAGGCGGGCGGCCCGAGCCCCAGGCCCCTCCCAGGCTCTGAGTCTCCCCGGTTGCAGGCGAATGGATGGGGCTTCTTCAGGCGGCGGCGGCAGTAGCGAGGGTGGCGGCGGCAGCGGCGGCAGCGGCTGTAAGTGCAGCCTCCACAAACCATCTCTCCCCTACTATTCCTGTTTGGGATGAAGGGCTCCCGAGGTGTTCGGGATCCCCTTTCTCTCCTTACCCTCCCCCACAGCAGAGTGCCGCCCGGAAGACCCTTAACTTCCGGGGAGGGGCTGCTAGAGACGCTTCTAGCTTGCCTCCCTAAACCGAGCAGGGCTGGCCGACGATGGCGCATGCGCAGCTCCCCATCGCCACCCTCCTCCTTCGAGCTCTAGTCTCTGCTTTCGGGGCTGCAGCGGCAGCGCGAATGTTTCCCGGCGTTCGTGGTGCGCTGGGAATCCGCTGCGGCGTGAGGTCGTCTCTCCCCGATCGCTTTCACCCCTTTCTCATTTGGGTCGCAGATCCTGGTAGGTGGGGCTAAGATGACCACCCTCCTGTGGCTCCGCCTCTTTCCCCTGTATTTTCCCCTAGTTCTTACTCGAGAGGGGGGGGAGGCTCCCTCTGGTACTGCAGTTCTGTGGTGAGCAGGAACTGGGCGAATCTACTCTTTTCGGAGGGAGTGAGGGAGGGCAGAAGAGGACATCATTGTCAGGGAACGAGGTCCTCCAAGCCCCTGGGAGAATCCTGGGACAGATGCTCCCTCCTGTCCTACCTCTTTGGATGGCCTAGCTCTTCCAGCATTTAGTGGAAAGATTCCTGGCCTGGAGCAAATCTCTGGTCCTCGTTTGCTATGTGACCTTGGGCGAGTCACTACCCATCTCTGGGCCGCAGCTTCCCCTAAAGCGTCCTTCAACGCTAAAATTCTAATTCTGCACAAAAGGTATTGCAATTACAAGACCTGCAGGTTACTAAGACAGTTTAGCGGCGATGACCTGCAGTTGACCAAAATCTTTTCTTCTGTCAGGGGTGGAATAAAGCAACCTGTTTATTGGGGCGCTTTTATCCCTTTTCTATTGGTTACAGAATGCTCGAGTCCAGACTCACTAATGTTTTCCTAAAATTAACCGTGGGATCCTGGCCCTAATTTCCAGCCATCTTTTTAAATGTGAAAGCGTTAGTGAGCTTGTGGTTCCTGTCTAGTTGCTTCTGAAGCTCTCTTTCCTTTGATCCAGATGGTGTGGTGGCTCGATTCTCCCAGTGCCTGGCTGAGTTTCGGACGTGGTTAAGAACCAACTGGTTGAGGTTCAATGCAGACAAGACGGATGTGATGCTGGTAGGCAGGGGCACACTTGGAAATTAAGGGAGGGAAAGTCCAAACTCCCTCAAGTAATATAAATATTATATTACTCTTTTGTATGTTCCAGTGTTTGAGAACTGCTGATGGGCCAATAATTTCCAGAATTTGGGTGAGATAAAAATAACATGTCAACAATGTAATATAAGAGTATTAGTTTGCAATAATCTGATAAAATTATTATGAAGAGAAAAACCAACCAAAACTGTATCCAGAAGAACCAAAGGTCTATATAAGTGGCATAAGTAATAAACAAACAAAAATGGTGCGAGCGTTGCATAGATATGGGGCTTCCAAATGTAATATGCTTTACAGCCTGCATTCTGCCTACTAAATTAAAAGTAAACGCTTAATTTGAAATGTCATGTTTAAGAAGAGGTTAAATATTTTAGTATTTAGGTATTTTCAACCACATTAATAGTCATCTATAAATTTTACTTGCACATCATGAAGATACAAACTGTAGTTTTTAAATAAGAAATATTATAAAATATCACAAAAGGGCCTTATGGACCTGCAAAATTGTTAGATAAAGAATTTTTCAATGTGTTGTATACTGATCTGTTTCAATCAAAGAGCCCCAGAATCTAAATAGTTACAAGTGTTTTTTTGGTGCATTTTGAGAGAGAACCTTTCTGAGTTGCTTAACAGATATTTATGTAGTGTAGATATATGTGATATTTGAATCTGGTGTTAGTATAAATAAAGGTTATATTTATTAGATGTATATATATTATTTATTGGTTAGTTTAAGGTACTAGTTGAAGTAAAAATTGTGACCTTAAAATGTCTTTATTAACAGCAAAATTATTACTTTGAGGGATTCTTCTCTGTGTGTGTGTGTGATAGCTTCTGTAAATCGTTTAATAACTTTTTAATGGAGTATTCAGTAAATTGGTTAACAATAATTGCCCGATAGAATAGCATTTTTCAGTAGCTTAATGTGGTAAAAATAATACTCGTTTGCCTGAAAATAAGAAGGCCTTTCGGTGAGGAATGGGAGCTAAAGAGGCATTTATTCAGGCTTTGTATAAGATTTTTTGCTTTGAGACTTGTTAATTTAGCCACAGATGTCACATAAAATTAGGATTAACCACACTTAGTTTAACTTTAAACATTTTATTACACAATTCTAACAAAATACCAGTTTGGCTATCACATTAATAAATAATACAAGTTGTATTAATTTTTAACAAGTCATAAGTAATGGTCAATTTTCTCATGCCTGTAGCTCTGTCACATCCTGTTTTCAGCTTTTCTAGTGGCAATAAGCTTTGAAGATTTATTTATTTGTTAACCCAAGTCTAAATATTGACTGGTTGTATTTGAATACAAACAAAGAAGACATCTGTTGTATTAGTCCAAAGTGCTGAAGAACTAGGGGTAATGAATGGAAGTAACAAAGAAGTACATTCTGGATTAATAAAAAGATTTTTCCCAAACATTAGAGCTTTTTTGAAAGAAGCAGCCTCTTCATGAGTGATTGCTGGTGTTTAAACATAGGCTAAAAAGCCTTGTAGTAAGAAAGGTTCCTACTTGAACAGGTAGAGAATTGATGAAGGATCTTTAAGGTCCCACCCAACATTAAGATTCTGTGACTAATCAGTAGTTAATTTTTACACTTCTGATATTGAAGAGGGTAAGCAAGAGTTTTGAGAAAGCCTTTGATTTCCTTAAGGTGGCTTCTGAAATTTTTAAAGATCTCACTACCATATAATGGAATGTGTTACTGATAACTTACAGTATTAGAACTATTTCTCTTTACCTTTAGAATATCTTAACACCCCCATCACTGAACTCATATTTATAACAAAAGGACTAAAGTGTAGAAGGAACCTTTTTCTCCAAATGATGATGCCATTTAAAATTAGTAAAATTGCAGCATAATATTAGTAAATTTAAAAGTTACTTAGCAGTAAGATACATGCCCATTCAAAATGACAGACCTCAATTTTCCTCATATTTTCAAAATTCATTTGTAGCTTAAGGGGCTGTGATCTCTATCACAATTTTTTGATGATTTGACTGAAGAATCAAAGATAAATGGGCTTAAACAAGTAGGTTACTCTTTTTCCTTATATTTTAACAACACATTTACACTTTCTTTTTAGTATCCAGTTAAATTTCATAAATCAGCTTTCCTTTTTTAATGTAAAATCCTCTTTCATTCCCACAGTATAAAGCCTGAGTTTCTACCTCTAGGCCTCTTAATTCTTTTATCCTTTCCCACCTCAGGTCCATGTGTATCCATTGTTCTTTCCTTCAGTTACTTCCATCAATTGTATCAATGTGAAAACTACTTGGAAAGGAACTGACATTTTAACAAGTCTTTTTTTATTTTAAGTTCAAAGGACTAACACAATTCAGGTCAACAAGGTCACGTCAGAAACTATATACCTATGCTAAAATATTTATTTCCCCAAGGAATCGTGAAAAACACTTATATAAATATTCTAAAAATAAAATGAAAACTGTACAATACAGTTAATGGTAAAAAATTGTTTGTAGTTTGGGAACCCTAAAGTTTTCCTTTCTCTTCTTTCCCTTGCTTTTCTTTCAGTAGAAAATGTGCATCAGATGTTTATGTTTAATTGGTTTACAGACTGTCTATGGACTCTTTTCCTGTCAAATTACCAGGTAATGTCCTTTCACTTGGCAGCTTCTTCATATACCTTTAAATGCAGTTTATTCGTGCACAAATTATTATTGGACATAAAAAGTTTCAAATTAATGTTGAATCTTTGCAAATAAGAAACTGCTTGATGGAGTCTAGAATTTGAAGGGAATACACATAATTTAAGAAAACAGCCTTCCTCATGTTACATTGTATTAACTTTAAGAAAATTACTATGTACAGTATAGCACTGGCACCACCTTATTTGGAGGGAATGATTCATTCTCACATTAACTGGTTAATTTTGATAGCCATTTTTGAAACTGTATTAATAAAAGACACCCTTGAATATTTTTAAAACAGGTCTTTTGAAATAAGAACCTTGTAACTTTTGGTTTGGTGAAATATGTTGGTGCACCTTTTATTGCCACCTTCGCATTAGCCAGTATCTGGTCTAATAGTGAAAGTGAAACATATTTGTTATTTTGCAATCACTGGCTCTGGCAATCATGAGAATTGGCATCAAGGCCAGTTGGCCTCTGTAGGCCAGTACATTAAAATAAACTTTCAAATTGCAGGCATTCAGGCATTATGGTTCTCCCACATGCAGTCAAGTCAGAGGTTATTTATATCCATCAAAGAACAGCTTTTCAGTAATTTACTTTTTAACTTTGTCCTGTGCAAAATTCAACTAATGTTGCTACTGCCATCACAGAAGTAATGTGAGGAAAAGCAAATGAAATAATGGGGATGGTTTAACACACTCTCTTTTCTAAATCTCTTAGCCTTGACATTTCTAAAGAGTTAGGGATCGTGGATCTTACATTTCCTCTCGTGAAATAACCCAGAGAAATGTTTGTCGAGGGCTAACCGCTTTTAAAGCGCTGTACTTGCCGCTGTTGGATCACTGCAACATCATTTTTCCAGCAACTGCACTTCAAAGGCAACCTACATATAAAATACAACATTTTTTTTCCTTGTATTGTAAAGGCTGTTCGCAGTTCCTTCACCACCTTTCCCTGACTTCTCTGCTTCTTAGACCCTGGTCCCCAAGCTAGAACGGCGGATCTGTAAAGGCAGAGAAGGCGCCCAGCGCTGAGATGCCTACCTCCTCCCACACCCACCTTGACTCCGCCCCCTCATCTCTCCTTGCGGGGAGGGCTGGCCGCGGGGTTGCGCGCTCGTCCCTGTTCCCGCGCGCGCGCTTGCGCGCGTGCGTTCGGCCTTTTCCCTCCAGTCCAGCCCAGCCGGGGCGCCGCGAGGGGGCGGAGTGGGGTGTGGTGGGCGCGCTCGGGCGGCTCCTGCGCGTTCCCGCCAAGACAGCCGCGGCGGGAGCGGCACTGGCGGTGGCTGAAGTCCCATCGCTGATTCTCACATCCGGGTTCTGGCCGTGACCCAGCTGCGGCCGCCTCGGAGATGTGACCCGTCAGTACGGCAAATATGGCGGAGGTAAGGGAGCGAGCTCCCCCTCCCCGTCCTGGAGCCGGGCACCCCCGGGCCCTGGCCGGGGAGGAGTGGAGTGGGCCTGGCCTGGAGAGGCCCAGCCCTGTCGGCGCCACTGCCCACCTGTTGTCCGGAACAGGCCGCGGTCTGGGCGAGAGCTTCTCTGGAACTTAGTTGGGATGGGTCCGGGGGAAGGAGGAAGCAGAGGCGTAGTTGGACTTCGGGGGCAGTTTGAAGGGTCGGGTGCTGCGTAGTAGTGAGTGTCCGGGGTGGGGGGTGCACTCGTAGAAGGGGCGCTTGTGGCGCAACTTCACTGGCCGGTGCTAGGGGCCAGGAGAGGAGCCGGTGCTTCCTCTTGCGAAGTTTCTTTCCTCTTCAACCGAGATGCTGTTGCGTCCTTCCCGCGTCACCCGCATCCGTTTGCTGCTGACATCCAGTCTGTTGGTGGGCAGAACAGCCTTTGATTAAATCTGTAATTTTCCTGGGTAATGATAAAGTGAACATGGAGAAACTAATCTGGCCGGCCGCAATCCTGTCCTGGTTGGGAGAGTTCCGTTTTGTCCCCAAGGAAGAACCTCTTTTTCTGTCTTTACATTCCAGGAAAGTTGCTTCCCTTTTTCTCTCTCTTCACTTTTTAGGCCTTTTTTTTCTTCCCTTCTAAATCAGTGCTGTCTGTTCTAGTGTTTTTTCTCCTCCTTAAGAAAGGTTGCCGATCTTTTTCTAGTAAATTAGTTTCTAACGTTGTCTTTCTTCCATAGTGCATTATTTTACCTTTTGGGGCCTCAAATCGGTGGGCAGCCACTTAGTTTATGGCTAATTTGAGCTTAGTACTGCTACTGGAGGTTTTCAGTTCTGCCTCTGATTTAAACCTTAAACTTTTGAAGTATTGATTTCCCCCACCTCTAGCTCTTGGAAGAATTTTCTTATTCTTTACTCTCTTGAGTTCAGGAAGTGATATATTTGGACGTTTATGTCTCTTGAGATAAGCCACTCTAAATGTATATTAACTAGTTATTTCTCTTGTTTGAATTACTTTTTCCTGGTCTCTGACCAAATCCAGAACCACTGGCATCAAGTTGATTCTGACTTACGAGAGCCTATAGGTAGCGTAGTAGTACCTAAGGCACTTGACTGCTAACAAGAAGGCTGGCGGTTCAAACCCACCACCCATTCCTCGGAAAGAAGGTTGGGCAATCTACTTCCGTAATGATGCCGCCTGGAAAACCCAAGGAGGGGTCTGCATGAGTCAGGTGCGACTCAAGGGCCCACAACAACAATATGACAGAGTAGAACTGCCCCATTGGTTTTCCAAGACTGTAAAACTTTCGGAAGCTGATTGCCTCATTTCTCTCCCTCAGAGATGCTGTTGGGTTCCAGTTGCCGACCTTTTGGTTAGCAGCCGAATGCTTTAAACGCTACGCCACCAGAGCTCTTTCCGGGTCTCAGAGGCACCCAAAAGCAGATTTGGGAAGTAGTTAATTTTATTTACCATCCAGGCCCCAATTTTTGCCATTTGCTGAATGAAGACAGTAGCGAGTACTTTTGTCAATATTTTAATGCCTTCTTTTTAAACCTTGGAATATGGATACGTGGTTAGATTATGGGAAAAAAATTTAATTTAGAGCTGTTGCGTGCACCTGTTGAGTGGCTGGACCAAGAGATTAACTTTTCTGGCATTGTTCTTAGGAGTTTCGTCTTGCAGTCACAGGCTGCTCCTTCTGCTTACCTTACAGAAAATGGTTTTATATGTATGTTCTGCATGGCCAAAAACCAAACCCACTGCTTATGAGTCAATTCTGACTCATAGCGACCCTGTAGGACAAAGTAGAACTGCTCCACAGTAGTAGACTGCCTTATCCTTTTCCTGAGAGTGGCTGGTGGGTTCGAAGGCAACAGCCAACCTTTTGATTAGCAAATGAACGTCTTAACCTCTGGTGCCACTGGAGCTCCTGTGTCTTGGAGTATTTGCTATTAAAGAAGGAAGAGATTTTTACCTTAGTAGGACTAGGAGCTGTCGTAGCATAGTGCCTAAGGCACTTGACTGCTAACCAGAGAGCTGGTGGTTCAAACCCACCAGCCACTCCTAGGAAGGAAGGTTGAGCAATCTATTTCCATAGTGATACCGCCTCGGAAACCCAAGGAGGGGTCGCTATGAGTCGGGCCAACTCGAGGGCACATAACAACAACAGGACTATGTGCTGCCAGTGTTGTTTAAAAGACATTTAGTATTTCTGCTTTACAAGTAAATTTAGGTCTTAACCTTATTTCTATTTTATTTACTTTACATGTTTAAAGAATTGTATTTTCAAGGCAAGGAAGTTGGAGAAAACAGTGCTTTTCATTTCTTTCCTTCATATGGAAAGCATTTTGGGGAGAGATTATGTAGTTGGATTTACATATATCTTATTAATACTTACTTTTTAAGTGGACCCCCTTTCAGTGAATGCCCATTACATAAGCAGTAGTGTATGGTTTCTTCCCTTGAGATGCTCAGAGTGTCTGAAATGATTTGAGCCATAAATTCTGTAGTCATGTTTTAAGGCAAGATAGCCTACGAAAATAACCTAGTGAATAAAAAATAAAGTGAAATTTAAGATTTAAAAAGTCACACCAACCAGAAATTTTAACTACCCAGAGTCCTCAAAACTTTAAAATAGGAAGTATGACATTCATTTTTTTTGCTTAGAAATTAAAGATGGTTGCATTAATGCAAGATTGAAACACTTATAAATCATTAATGATTTCCTAATATTTTCTAGTGAATGTGTTAGTATTATTAAATATTTCATCACTTAGAGAATATAACTCATGATAGGAACACATGGATGGTTCAATTTTAAGAATAAATTACCCAAATATTATTTCAATTAATTTATTTAATGATCTGATAATTAATTCATCATTTATATTCTTCACATACTTGTAGATGGGTCTATTGATAGTGAATTTGGAGGGAGAGTGGAGGAACCTTTTTCTTTAGTTGTATCCTATCCCTCCCCCCCCAAAAAAAAAATTAAGAACAGGTGAAGGAAGTGGTGAAAACTAAAATTAATGCATAATTTTCCTGATCAGTGTTTTACTAATTAAGATGATTTGACAGAGGCGGGGGCACGCACGTGCACACGCGCGCGCACACACACACACTCACTCTCCCTCCCTCCCTCTCTCTCTCTCTCTTTCTCTCTCTCTCTCTCTCTCACACACACACACACACACACACACACACTCTGCTATCTAATCGATTCAGACTCATAGCAACCCTATAGGACAGGGTAGAACTGCCCAGAGGCTTTCCAAGGCTGTAAATTTAACAGAAACAGACTGCCACATCTTTCTCTCTCCGAGCCATTGGTGGATTTGAAGAGCCAACCTTTCAGTTAACAGCCAGACAGTTAACCACTGTGCCACCAAAGCGCCTTGATTTGAGACCAGTGGTTTTTAAAAATAGATAAAGGAAAAATGCTTGGTTTATAGAGTGCTTTAATGTGCCTTTGGGTGACCTTTCGGTAGATTCATTTGTTATGATGCCAGTATAAAATGGCATGTGGTAAAAGAATCCAAATGCTCAATTATTAGGCAT